GCTTTCGTTCTACTAAACAATTGTAATATTTGCCACTTTAACTGTCCACATCGCTATTAAAGTTACTCAGGATACCTGTGAAGAAAATTCATTGTTCTGCTTGATTTACAACATGCTTTAATTTACATTTTTCTTATACATGTTTTGTTCCATCCAGCTGCGATCAGAGCCCGCGCAGGGGAAGTGAGCGGGGTTTCACTGTCAGAGGCTGTACTGGTGACAGCTGCTCGGCCGTGCGACCGGTCAAAGGTTACCCTGCCCCGCCGGGCGCTACCCCCACTCCACCCGACCTGAGGCCGGTGCAGCCTCTGACATTTCAGCGCGGCCAATTTTCCTTATATGGGCATGATACCAAGCTCAATTGAGCAAAGTAGACATGAACAGATGCGAATTAATGCATGATGTGAAGACGACAGAACAATGAATTTTCTTCACAGGTATCCTGAATAGCTTTAATAGCGATGTGGACAGTTAAACTGACAACTTTGACATTTGTTTAGTAGAACGAGAGCCGAACGCTCTTTCCGTGGCCGGTCAGGCGGGCCGAGAGCGCCGGGTCTGCGAGTCGATAAGGGTCATTTCACGCTTATGTGTGGCTGACTTTGGTCCATCGTGACACTGAGCTGTGTGATTGCGCCTTATTTTCGGCTGTGGGAGACGCATATTAATGTTTGGAAATATTGCTTCGCTAAATATTGTTCTTTTGGCGTTCAGCTTTCACTGGAACTCAAAAATACATGTTTATGTTTTCAAGAATGTCCGGGACAGCCCGTTGAATAAAAGATTATTAAGTTTTTACAAAAACGCAATTTTCAAAAAAGGCCATCGATCGATTTTGATAAAAAATACATTTTTGGATTCAGCTCACCGTAAGCTTTCGAATGGTATACATCGTTTCTTTTGAGCCTGAGATGACCTTCCGACGAACCGTGAGCGGTGTGGGGCGGGACAATGATACGAGGGACGTAGACACCGCAGCGGTGTGGCGCGGGACGTGGACATGAGGGAGACAGATACTCGCATCAGCGCACAGTAGCGCACAGCACAGATGATTGAGTCAGCGACCTGCAGGCTGCTGGTAAAACAATACGCCAGAGAAATCAGTACTGGAAATCTAGACAATATGTTTTATGAACAGAGCCATGGAAAAAGCTGTTGATGTTTTTTCATAACATGTTTGTTTTATACAACGTCCAATGAACAGGTTTGTGAATTGGCTGTACGCTTAGCAAATGGAGTTGTTCATCTTAACGATTGAACCCTGTCACAACCGGCAATTCGATCGCGCAGCCATTACAGCTGACAAAGTGCACGGCAGCCCGGAATCCACCGTTTTACGAGCTGTCGATCGATCCGACATTCTGTGAGTCTATCGATTCACCAAATCGACTCGGTACGGATAATTCCGGACATCACTGGAAGGGCATGCTGAAACCAAACGCCGTTCCAGCCCCAGCAGGTATTCGCTACTTAGCTGCGGCCACAACCAATCACAGCGTTGGTATACGGAAGGAGGCTTCCCCCACCGGCGAGGGTTATCGTTAGGTCGATTCCGATCAGCGACAGGGCTGTGATAACGGGAATTGCACCCGACTCGGTTGGTCGACGCCGTGTTTTATTCATGGTGCCGATGTCGGGAATTTGTAAAGGCAAGTGCTTCCCTCATGAGTCAGAGATCGACAGGAAATAGGGAAGATTAAAATTGATTGACGACAGACTTTGAAATATCGGACATCTTGAGATCTGCAAAAGGGAAAGGAATAACTTGTTGGGCGCGAAGGGCTTCATTCAGCCTTCAGGTCATGCGGCGAGATTTTGTTTGTATGTTATTTGTTGAACAACGCGATTTTGGTTGCATGCTCACTTTTTGCATGATTTAGCAAAAAGTGATCAGCTTAGGGGCTGAAACAAGACTAAGAAAAGGCCATGACCGATCGTATTTCTGTTGCGCCTCTAAACTGCCGGGAATCCCACTGCATTAGTATGAGGCTGGTCTCTGCAAATCAATACAATCACGAACCGGTGTACTTTAAGACAGATGGCTAACCCATGCCACTCCAGCTGCAACATTTGCTCCCATCTCGGGGAGAGGCGGCACACCCCAAATGGCGGCAGTTTCCGGCCCGCAGCTGTCCCGCAGGGGGAGGTCCCGATTTAGACAGCCCTCTGTCAGATCACCCGGGCGTGACGACTCTGCAGGAAGGCGGCCACTGCAGCGACTCAGTCAGCCCAGTCTCTCCCCCGCTGAGAGTCCGGGGACGGGACGTCGGCGACCCACTTCAGGGCTGAATCTGCCGCGATTGGAGGGGAACCCATCACGGCGGGGCTCGTAACTACCCTGTTAAACATCGGCTAACCGTGTTGGTGCATGCGGTGAGCCGTTCGATCGTTAGTAATATCAGCGTCGTAACTGTTCGATGTCGCGAACTGGGCGGAACCCGTTAAACCAAACGAGATGGGCTAAAACAAGTCATGATCATCCTGGAACCCATTTCACCATTTGCACAAAAAGATGTGATAAATTTTGCCATTTTGAGCTTTGCGTTATTTTTGTATAATTTATGAGCCTGTGGCTTACGTAAGCTCAATAAAGCCTGAATTCAAATTCGGTTAAGGTGATAAGGTCAACCGATCAAACTGCATTCATTCAAGGTTAATCTGAGCCTTTCATTGGGTGCACCCAATGCCCTCCAGCGTCATTCGTGTCCAATTATAATCCGGTCATAAGGCAGCGACGACGTAACCACCGCTGCGTTCACCCGTGCGGCCGGCCAGTGGCGTCACAGGTCACACGGTCTGTCCACTGACGCCGGGCGATGCCGCACTAAATCAGAGGGCTGTCCAACTCGCGTGCGCCTACCGGGTCTCTAGGGGCGCGTCCCTTGTGGTGTCCCTTATGGCAATCCCTGCTTTCCCTTGTTCAGCTTGACGACGGTGGAATAGGGAGGAGGGGGCGGGGAGAGTTGGGTGGTGTTATTCCAGGAAACTGATACTGCAGAGGGGAAGTCGTATATCCGCTCCCCGCGACTTGTTTGCTTCTGTTTATTGTGCAACTTTACCTTATACATAGTGTCACACGTAGCGTTAATTGGTTTCAGGAGGTAAACAAGAAATTGTAAAAAATAAATGAGAGGTTGTGAAATTCCACAGAACGTAGCGTATAGCAGCTATTGGAAAAGGATGTGTAGGTATTATGTAACGTGCAATCATAGCCTTCATTTCAGTGCCTGTCCTGTTACCTTAGGTACCACTTATTCACAACTTAGGAAAAGGCGCCCACTATACTCTCCCTCCACTCTAGCTCATATAGTCTCCACATCTTACATCCATCCTCCCTCTTCACCTCTTCCCCTTGCTCTGGTCTCCGTCACCTTCTCATTTCACGGCGCACAAAGGAGGCATTTTACCAGTCCCGGCTCGGCCGTAAAGTGAAATGACACCGTGACCGGTCAGTTGGTGACTCTCTGGGGACGCCCTATGGGTCCGTCCAGTCCCGTACGGCGTCATTTCGGTCCAGACTCCACCGCCGCCATCGGCCGCGGTCTGCCTTGTCGCTCAGTTGGTTTTAGTATCGTGGCTAGCCAATCATGACGTATTTATGGGTGGTTTGGTGGCAGGGCGAGGCTATAGGCGGCGCTCATCAGATGCAGGGGAGGGAGGGAGGGGGGGTTAGTAGCGAGGCTGTGAGGTGCGGTAGGGTGGTCGTGATGTGATGTTACAAAATGGTATTGCCAGTTGCCGTCCTAAAATGAGGAAAACCATAACATAGGTTCCAAGCCGATCAGGCTCGGAATGCGTCGTATGCATTGCTATCTAAGTAGACTTTGAGTGGATCAGAGTTTGTGTCGGTTCACACACCTTTTAAAGTTTTGAGGAACGGCTTTCCATGCATCTCAGACCCTTCCAGGCAGCTTTCGGTAAAGGAACCTCTTTTACCAATTCTAGCTGCGGAGTTCATAAATGTCATATGTCCTCTAATCAGCCGGATCATAAAATAGCTTTATATTTCGTGGGACGGTGGTGCCATTATCGATAGCACCGTCGGAATATTCTTGGAACGATGTTGGCGAGGAATGGCGAGTCACGCGAGCCCAATGTCACTGTGCCGGACATAACTTGTGTGAATGCGTGTTAGCACTGAGTAAACACAGATATTTGTCTGGGTGAGGCGCGCCTGCATACGTTGACGGGCTCAGTGAGCGCCTACACAGTACACACACACATATAAACACTTAAAGCAGGCACACAAGCAGTTCTATTCACAAGGCAGTATAAGGACTCCCAGCAAGGGAGGGAAGGGAACCTCCTCGGTAAATGAAGGAGTTGAAGTGAGGCGGCGAATGTGGATCGACATCTACATATATGTACTTATAGCAAAGCTGTTGCAATAGGTTTTCCTTCCAAAACGCTAAATTTTGAATGATGCGTATGCTAAACGTAGGAAGAGTTATAGTGTGTCATTCACTTCTGCTTTGAGTAGAGAATAGGTTATGTTTGTATTATTCATGCACGGTGCATTTTTAACGCTTATGAATGTATTATGCGACAGGTACGACTTCCCAGAAGTGCTTACCGTTATCATATTCGCTACAACAACGTTAACATTAACGAGACAACCCCAGTGTGCCATTCTATGTCATACTCGGAACAGATAAAATGCCACTGAAAATTATATAAGTCTTTCGCTATGTGTGATTGATTATTCAAATGTTTTCAACGCATCGTTACCACTTAACCTCAGCAACTATGCGGGCCACATTGCATCATTCACGGTCGAATACCAGCCATGTGGCGTCCACGTGCCTGTGTCACGAGCCACGTGTCAGCGCCACAGCCCTCCCTCAGTGCCAGCGCAGCCTCCCGGCCCGATATCTCAGCATTGGCACACCATTCGCCGTAGTTTGCCGCATCTGCTGACTGCTTTGGTCAACTGCCGCGGGCTAGCTCGCGCGGAGGCGAGCAGACCTTTCCAGACAGCCCGCAGTTGGCAGACATCTCACCTGACCTTCTCTCGGCCGCCGGCCGATGCAGCCGCTGTACAGAGTCCTCTCAGTCGCCCAGCGCTCGGACTGAGTCTCACGCCGCTCCAACACCACCTCGGACCGCCTCCCTTCGCTGTCCGCCCGCCCGTCCGCCCTTCCGCCGCGCCGGTCCGCCGCCTCACACCGCGCCGAGCCGCACCCGTTCCTCCGCCACCGCCGAGTCGGCACTGGCCGGCGTCGGAGCCGACGGAGCCGCGTCGAGACCGACGAGGCGGCCGACGGAGCGCGCTGCTCAGGTAGCTGTCGCCCCGTGACGCGTGCCAATCGCAACACAACGCTCTCGCTCTCGCGGTCGGCGGCGCGGCGCGGCGGAGAGCGGCCGAGTCGGGTCTGCCTGCTCCCTCAGCCCCGCCGCCGCGGGGGAGGCTGCCTGCGGAAAAAGGCCGCGCGCCGCGCGCCGGCGCTGTTTTCTGACCAAATACACGGCGGCGGAGGGCTGCAGGCGCTGTGGAGAGTGGCCTGGGTCCGCAATGGAGGGCCGCCTGCCCTGAGGCAGCTCTCAGCCCTCCCCGGCTGACCGGCGGCTGTCTGGCGCGCCTCAGATCGGGTCAGTGAGTCAGAGAGATGAGGCACCGCTCCGACCACAGCCCTGGCTCCAGTTGAAGCTGGGTCGGCTCAATACATTGACGGTATCTTCAAGGCCAGGCGCAACTCTTGACGACGAATCATCGAGCTGCTCCAAATAGGAGCTTGATATGCTAATTTACGTTGTGACGTATTTTGGTCCGGGCGTAATTTTATGATTTGCCTTCCTTTTTGGATTTTCCTATATTTCCTCATTTCTTTCGGAACTAGCTCGTTATTTTTGAACAGTTAATGACCTGCTAGAAAAGTCGCTCAAAGTATCACATTATAGCAATTCTTTGGTAATGACTGCGCCATGTGTTACGCGGGCGCATGCGGTACGCCCTCGGATCATGCTTGGTCGACAATCCGTGGAGGATTTATTGCGCCCCGTCTGATTGATGAGGGAAATAAAACTGACGTGCCACCACCGAGGCTTCACATGCTGAGGCCCGCACTCAGGAGACACTGAAAAATGATGACGTCCTCCGTGGTAAAATATTGGATGCTGCTGCCCTTCGAGAAGAAAGACGCGACAACTCGCCACATCATCGCTAGAATTTCCGTGCAGTGCAAGACTGCGTATGATGGATTAGCTACCAATCAATTCAAGTTCAATTTATTCCAAGCGCCAACTAGTTTTCAGGGATTCACACACATTTGAACGGCTGTGACAATACCATTTTCGTCCACGTCTTCTTCCACATGTGAGCAAATCCGTTGACATCTTTGTTTTCCTGATGGGTCTTTCCTACTGTGTTCGCTGTGCACACTCACTGCCTCTACCACTTTCACTTCCGAATTGTCCTGCGACTATGTCACTCTCACCCATCATGCCTACGTCTTACTCCGTAGTATCCGCTGAGATTGTGACGATACGGTGTCACTGGCGACGTTCAGTCCGCCCGTGAAGGACCGTGGACTCCACCGGTCGGCCTGTGACGGGCGTCTGGCGTGTCCCGTGCCGTAGCTGCCAGTGCCAGGGGTCGTATTTCACCCTGAGCTCCGCCAGATGGGACCTGCAGGTCACTCATACACAAAGGACCGACTCTGACAGTCCGTGATATCGCAGCTTCTGAAGCCTGCCTTCTATAGTAGAGTCTGACTTGAAATGGCCACCAGGCGTAATTTCGTCCTACGTTGAAGACGGTGGGTTTGCTGTATGTCTTCTTAAAAACGTTGTTTGATAAGAAAGTTGCGGCAAAGGCATGCACGCTGATTGTTTTACCAGATAACAAAGAATTCCAGAGCTGTGGCAAAAACAAACCGTGTGTCCGCCGGAATCCTTTACACTGACATCTGGTAAACAATTATCAGCGACAGGTGTCCCTCGGTTTTCTACTCACCATCGTTAACCTTTCGTGGAGAGGTGGGCGGTACTTACCATTTCCTCTCTGTCTGTCTGAAGGCAGGAGGAGTGCTGTTTCCTGTCTGTCTTCACCGCAGTCGCTTTGTTTTTCCGCGGATAACCAGAGGTACGGCTGGTTTTTCTCTGTGGCTACGACCGTCTCTTATATCAGTAATGAAAGACGAGGATATTTTCAGCTCTTGAGTTGAAGATCAGAATGGAAATGCGAGGCAACTGATAATTTTGGACGATAAATGGGCGGTTTGTTGCGATTAAATTGATTTCAGCTACATCTTAGGGTGGATACACTACTTAACGTAAAATTGTTGAATTTTGTTTGTTTTTCTTTCTTGGCCGAGGCGATACAATGGGAGTGCGCAAATATGTGAATGCAGTTGTGTATGTAGTGTCAAAAAAGGAAGAGAGAGAGAGAGAGAGAGAGAGAGAGAGAGAGAGAGAGAGAGAGAGAGAGAGAGAGAGAGAGAGAGAGAGAGAGAGAGAGAGAGAGAGAGAGAGAGAGAGAGAGAGAGTGCGAGAGGAGTGCGTCGCGGTTGGGCCGCTCTGTAAAAAGCCCTGTACAAATCGCCGGGGACGCGCGGCCGTCCCGGCTGTCTGGGAGGATCCGGGCGCTGTTTTTGCTGCGGCTCCTTCCGGGTCGGTTCCGGACCCGGACAGGTATTAGCTCCGTACCGGGCACCGTTCCGCCGCGGTGCGGGGCAGGGGCGGCGGCGGGGGCATTTGTTTTGGCACCGTGGTCGGCATGGAACAACTGGTCCCTGACGGGCCCGCGGCGCGAGCGAACGGGCCGGCACAGCGGGCCGGGCTTCTGAAGGTGACTGAGAGACGCCCCACCTGCCATGCCATGGACGTTCCCGAATGAAATATCGGGAGAGATACGGAAAACAAACCTGTTTGGCAATGCCAACCTCTGTGAAAGGTTGTCTGATGCGGTTATCTATGAGTATTAGTAACGGCTGCAGCTCATAAAGCATGTTTCAGACCCATATGGCAAAAGAGCCATTGAGTCAATTTTAAGACTGTAGCCCGAAAAATAAATGCTTTAGTTGTATCGGGATCTTCTCTGATTTAAGACTGTAGCCCGAAAAATAAATGCTTTAGTTGTATCGGGATCTTCTCTGATAGCATTTTAATCATCTTTGGGCATTTTTTAGGATAATGCGCCAATATGCTCTCGTGCAACCATGTTTCTAAACAAAAAGTGCACGTCATAGATTAACAATACGCATTACGCAAGACAAACTGAACGGCCACAAGTACTTCAAAACGTTTATCTAAAAAAGTCACACACTTGATAGGGTGAAATAAGTTTATTTTATTTGAAGGCAACACACTTTTCAGAAAACAATTAATTGCCTCAATAGCGCGCGATCAACACAAACCCCGAATAATTAAATACGCCCACACAATCTGATAGCACTCATACGAGTACATGTACTTTTCACATGCGCACTAACTAACCGTAAGGTTCACCATGTAACACCGGTTTCGTCATGTGTTTACACAGCTCGTTCAGCCGAGAGCAGCGACGGAGCAGCTCTGACTCACTTAGCCGTTTGCCAGGTAGGTGATGCTACATTTATGCCCCAGTGGGATCCTCCAGAAATAATACCAGCAGCATAAACAGTCCGCATTGCGGCCGCCAGGAGTCTCGGGGCCGGCTTTATGGGCTGGTGGGTCCAGCGGCCGGATACGCGGCTCCACGAGACTCTTAGAAGGTCGGCCGAGACCTCAGCTTTGAAACCGTCATCCTGAATATCACCTCTAAAAGCAACGAGAGATAAGGCTTATTGCAGAAATATGTGTAGACTTTGGCCTGGGGTACTTATTTCAGTAAACAGGGAAATAAGAAAAACACACGTTTTGATAAACAATTTAACCCTCGCCCATGTAGGGGGGGGGGTTGGTGCAAGCCCCCCCTGAGGTTTTTCAAAAATAGTGCAAAAACGGCGGCGCGCAGCGCCGCCAAATTTTGGGTACCTTATGGGGCAAACCTTGCGCATCTTTTGATAAAAAAATTGACCGGGTCATGTCAGGTCACGGAGTTATGACGTCACAAAGGGAACAGCCTCCGGCCGGATTTTCACAAACTGAGTGCCAACGCCCGAGGTTTCCTGCCGGTGGTACGGACATCGGTTGATGGATCGTGATGAAACTTCCCATGCATGTTGGGGCAAGTATTGGCTATCATATGGTATAAGAAACTTGACCGGGTCAGGTCAGGTCACGGAGCTATGACGTCACAAGAGGAACAGCGTCCGGTACTATTTTTGAAAAGCGCCCGAACCACTATTTTGCTAATTCTTGTCACCTCAATGGGAATATGCAGCAATATTAGCTTCTATAGGGAGCAAATGGACCTCCCAAATCCAAAAATACAATCAGATTTCAAAAATTTAAATTTTGATTTTTCGAATTTCTGCCGCCGACTGTGACCTTGCCGACTTCCGGCGCTCCCAACGCGCCATTTTTAGAGCTAGGGAAACGAAATACATACCAAACGATAGAGAATTGATCAAGGAACACGATAGTGAAGGTTTCAAGTCGATATCTCCCACCGTTTTGCCGCAATCGCCGCGGAAAGTTGAAAAAAGTCTATTTTTTCCGAAAATTTGACCTTTGACCGGTCAAAGTAGGTCAAATGTTGACCTAGGACCAAAAAATATACCACCAATCGCGAGATCTCGTGCGAGAGCAATCCGTTGGTTTTTTCCGCTAAGCTCTACGACGCTCCGTTTTCAAACGCCAAGGGGGGGGCGCACCAACCCCCCCCCCCCCTGCATGGGCGAAGGTGGCAGATCGCCGTTTAAGGGCGAGGGTTAACTCGTTCTTTGTTAAATGTATTCATTTATAAAGGGACATGCCAAGAGATATACTCTATTAACAGTATTTTGCGCATATTTGAAAAAAAACTATTCGTACACTATACAGCTGCCCTGAAAGTCTGGTAAGAATCGAAGAACTAGCAAATAATGCCGCTATGAAGTATCTTCCAAATAATTGGCATGGGATGAAGCACAAACAGTTAATAAAGTAACGAAACTTAGGTTTCATGGCTCCCATACCGAATTCCTCAAAGATCGACAAAAATAAACATGCGTGATCAATTTTCAAAGAAAAATGCCATTTCAGACTCTTCAGAGGTACCTACCCAACGACCCCGCCACACGTCCATTGCACAAAAAGAGCACGCTTCACATACGATCAGCACCCGTCACAATTTTTTACGGAAATTCCATCACTCTGCTTGAACGCTCAGTCAATCGCACATCTCACAACACTGAATCGTTCTGCACATATCTTTCAGCTGCAATTTTCGCTCGCAAAATGTGAAAAAGTGCTATTTCTGTTCTATTCAGCCAGAGAAAGTCACTTGCTTGTCGACTCAAAATTAAGATATATCATAGATTCCCCCCGTCATTGATGTCATCCCCCACTCGCACACCGCTGCCGGCCTGCACCGCCTTGTGGTGTCGATGGTTCATCAGCTGCCTGCCGTGCTGTTGGTCTCACCATCCGT